CCTGGTCACCTTCCAGGCCTCTACACAGGCCCAGATTACGGTCATGGCAGCTGCAGGCACCCAGACCCCAGCAGGGAGCCTGCAAAGGCCCAGGCCTGACCCTACAGACACACAGGCCTGAGGTGGGATGACAGTGAGAGAAACTGACTTTCAGGGAGTGGGGAGCTTGGGAGGAATGGGAAGGACTGGATTCAACTCACCCAAAATATCAAACAGGCAGGATGCTGGGAGTTTGCGAAAATAACAACGTCCTCCCTGGGGACCAAACGTGGCTCTGGAACCAGCGGCAAACACCCGGTCCCCAGCCTGCGTCCACACCTGGGTGGGGTGGGGTGCGGGGGACGGGGGAAGGGACAGAGGCTGCCAATCCCAGGCTCAAACCCTTCCAGCCGAGGAGGAGAAGATGCGGCAGGGGTGTGAGGAGAGGCCGAGCCCCAAGTCCCAGGCACACCTGCTGCAGCTGCGGGCAGGTCCACATCTGGCCGCACCAGAAACCGCGCCCCCCGTGATGCCCTCCCAGCAGGAGCCGTACCAGCCCGGGGAGGAGGAGCAGGTGGTCGCACAGCCTGGAGGGCGGCCTCTCTGAAGGCCTCACTCGGTGAGGCTCTCGTGACCCACGGCGACGCACAAGACCTGCCTGCCTTCGCGGGATCCTGAACAGGGTGTAACCACACTTTCTATTCCTCGAGCTTGGAATAAACCATCTGTCATTTGTGAGAGGCCTCTGCGACTCTGGGTGTCCTGGGAGGTCCCGGTAGGGCAGCTCCACGTGACCCACAGAGAGTTCCAGAAGCAGTGGGCCCAGTTCAAGTCCTGGCTCTGCGATGGCCTTGCAGGGCAGGCTCAGGCTGGTGCACAACCTCTGGGGCTCAACCCCGTACCTGCTACATGTGGAAGCCGGCCTAGGTGGTCTCCAGGGGGTTTCTGAACAGAAGTCTCCCTTCGCACGTGCAGACCTTTCTCCCAGCCCTTGGCCCTGACGACGCGGTTCCTGTGATGTCTGATTTAGCACGTGCCCGTGGAGGCCGGGCCTTGTCTGTGTCGTGTTCGCTTCTATCTTCCCACAGCTGCTCTGCCAAGCCTGGGACACAGCAGGTGCTTAGTCAGCGCTGGTGGAGGTGCGCTGGGTTTGCTCAAGTGGAGGTGGCACCACCTCTGGCTGAATTCATCCTGGATCAGCCATCTGCACGGGCAGACGCTTGAAGGGACTGGGGTCCCCTCTAAAAACACCTTCACTCTGCCTTTTGCACGTCAGAAATTCTACCAGCAGGCTTTCTGGGGGTCCAGGGCAGTTCTTCAGTTTTCAAAGCCCCCGTTAAAATGCAGATGAGCTGGTCAGCGTGCCCTGGCCTTGACGGCCCACTCCAGCGGGCGGAGTGGGAAGGGAAGGGAACCGAGAGCTGGGGACGGCCGGGAGGATGAGGGCGGGCGTCTTGTAGGCGGCAGCGTTGAGCGGAGGAAAGGGCCCGGGTGGCGAGGGGGCAGGACTCCCACCACGAGCCTCAGTCCTGGCCGAGCACTCAGGGATGGGCTGGAGTCGGTGCAGCGGGCTTTCCCAGACCAGGCAGGTCTGGGGTGGGGAGGGTCCACATGGAGTCTGAGGCCTCACGGCGAGAATGAGACAGAGCTGGAACTCAGCTGCTGTCGTCCTGAGGCCTGAGACCATGACTTCCCATGACTTCTGTTTCCTGGAGCACAGAACAGGGATTCCCTCTGACGCCTGTGAGATTAAGTCCCGATGGTGCAGTGGAGCACGGGAGGCCCTAGAGAACCCGGCTCCATCGTGCCTTCCCTTGAAACGCAGCACCAAAGCCCAGTAGCCTTTGCTCCGGCTGTGCGTGATGTTTGTATAGTCGCCTCCCCGCCTTTTACTGGGGGAGTGAGGCAGGAGATAGATGGGCCCCAGGCTGAGCAGCTGGAGTGTGTCCCCTGTGGGCGGACAAGGGCAGAGAGAAGCTGAGCCCTGCCCAGGTAAAAGATAAAGAGACCACGTATTTCTCATTCTTGAGGTCAAGGAGACCTGCCCCGACTACACATGTGCAGAAAGGCCCCTTGGAGGTCAAAAGGGACGGGGTGCCACCCCACAGTAGGTGATGTCAACCTACCCGTAGGCCTCTTCACTAGAATCCATCTTGGCTAAGAGATGCGCGCGCACACATGGGAGGACTCCGAGATAAACCAAACACGGACCCAGAACCAGGCAAAGCAAGATGACTGGCTGAAGGAAACCCGGAAGAAATGCCCCATATAAGTGACTCAAACTACCATGAGGGCGCAACTCTCTCTCTGAGTCCACCCGTGTGAGTCTATTCACACATATCCTTTTTCCTCCTAATAAACACTTTACTTGTTTCACAACTTTCCATCTCTTTGTGGGAATTCATTTCTATAAAGCCGATGGGTCAGGGCCTTGTCCCTGGCCACTGGTCTAGTGGCTATAGGATTCAGGACTCTCACTGTTGCAACCTGACTTCAATCTCTGGCCGGAGAACTGAAATGCTGCTTCAGGCCGCCGCAGGCCGAGGCCACCTGAGATCAGGAGGACAGTTCATCCTGTCACCTCCCACCTCCCTCTGGCCAGAGTCAGTTGTTCCCCTCCGCTGGCTTCGCACTAATGCGTGTAGAGCTCAATGCACTAAATGGAATCTGTCCTGTTCGCCTCAAGGCGCTCAGCACTCCAAGCTGGAGCTGGTCCTCTGCAGACAACAGAGCACGTGGTGAGGGAAGCAACAAAGGCCAAGAGCTGTCCTGAAGAGGCCCCGCCGCCCTGCCCCCTCTGCCCAGGCAGCTGCAGCACTCCTCTTAGGAAGGCGTCCTGTACAGCGCTGAGTCCCCCCTCCCCCGAGTCCATCGCGCATGATGGGATCTGTCCCTTAGGACGTTCTCTTTCAAAATCCACTGCAGCCACACGAGGGGAAATGCCTTTGGGTGACAGACTGTGTGACCCGCTGGAGGTTTCAGAAGAGCCAGCTTAAACGTTGGGATCAATGCAGAGACGTGAATGCCCAGTATGAGCTGCACTCAGTGTGGACACAAAGCCACCACTGTCTAGAAGATACACGCAAATCCTTAGGAATGAAATCTGACGGACAAGCCCGTTCAAATGGGTCAACGGCCTGGACGTTACAGGCGGTGTTTGCGTTTTTAAACAAATTACAAAAACAAAAAAGTTTACAGGTGAAACATTTCATGTGGAATGCAAATCTATATTTAACCGTAGTTCCTTTGTTCTGCTCACTCTGATTTAGTAAATTACTCGTAATTTTAATTATACTTCAATTGCCCAGCAGTTGATGGGCATTTATTTCCACAGTGCATCATACTGACCACCTCCTGTGCAGGCTTCCTGGAATTAGTTTGTTCTGCTGGGGTCTGAAGGGGGACAGCTGACACACACACGTGCCAAGCGCCTTTGGTGCGGCTCTCGCCACTTCACAGAGTGTTCTAACCGCAACTGAGGGCTTGCGGCCCGGTGGCCAGAGGCGGGATGGCCGGGCTGACAGCCAGCACCTCGCCCACAGCCATGTGTTCGGAGGCAATGAGGTGACATAGCCCCGAGCCGCCGCCTTCGCAGAAAAGGAGCTCACCTAGTCCCTGGACAGACAGACCCCACGCCTACAGACAAAGCACAAACCTGGCCGAATCCAGCACAGCCCGAAGGACCTACCTGCTCTCGGTGGATCATGGTAGTGGAGGGCGGGAAACAGAAGTGCTTGGGACCCTGAATTTCCATTTTGAACGTTTCCCACCTCCCATCAGAGACCCTGATGGAAGTCAGGGCTGTAGAGGTCTAACGGGCCTTGGATCAGAGATCTTGCAGTGACGTCAGAGGTCACCTTTGACCTCCTGTTTTTATGCAGGAGGAAGCTGGAGCCAGAGAGGCCTCTGGGGATCAGAGTCACGCAATGACAAACTGGGGCCTGCAGACTGAGCCCAGGCCCTGGTCCTCTCCTGCCGCTCCCTGCCCCTTTCCGTCCCGCCCTTTCTTCCTGTGGCCGTGCAGTGCACCCGGCCAAGGTAAGCCCTCACCGCTCTCCAAGGCCACGTCCAGGCCATTCTCATGCCCACACAGACCACTCCCTGGACCCCCAGCCCACAGAGGCCACTCCTAGGCAGACCTCAGCTCCCCGTGGCTCTGAACCCAGACCACAGAGCCTGCCCTCTGTCTGCCCTCCCCACGGCCTGCTGGCTGTAGGCACTGCCCCCGCCCAGGACGGCAGCCCCCATTCTGGACTCAGGAACTTCCCTTGTTGGCCAGATGCTGTGCCCACGCTCATCACTGCCCTTGGCCCCTGCCCATGGGTCTGCGTGCCTGCCCGGCCCAGCTCCAGCCCTGCTCCTGAATTAGCCCCCCATGCCCTGGCTGGATACCTCGCCCTCCGCTGGGCTCGCCCTCGGGCAGGGCAGCCTTCCTTGGCGGTTCTGCCCCTCATTATTTCTGCCCTCAAGGCACCTCACTGTTAGCAAAAATGATCCAGAAGTGGAAATAAGGCCGAGAGGGCAGCAGGTCCTTTCAATGTTGTATTAGAGCACTGCTAACAGCTCACCAAGGGCTATTTGATTATTTAGGAGAAGGTTCCTTGGTTTGACTAAAGACCTGGAACTAACAAAGATACATGTCATCCTGTTGATGTTTTGTCTGGCTGGAAATAATTCCTGTACCATCGATAACCCAGTAGGACGTGAACCAGTCTTGCCACAGAAGCCTTGCTCCGTCTGCATCCTTCTCCAAAGCTCAGTCCGTCTGCGCTCTGGGCTCCCCCCTTGCCGTCCTGCTGGTCCCCTCAGTGCGCTGGGCACGAGTCCATTACGCCTGCCACGACAGTCCTGCGCTTCCCGTCTTGGAAGTTACACTCACCATTTCCCCGTACAGTGTGCAAGCCCGACTGGCGTGTCCCCTTTGTCCCACGCCACCCCGATCCGGGGCCCGGCAGGTGCCGGCTGACCACGCGGTCGCATGAACGGTTTTACCCAACCCCGTGGGATGCTGGGGCCCTTACCTGCCACTGGATCAGAACAGACGAGGTAGTGTGCGGCGTCACAGAGACAGAGCTCGGGGGCTCTCCCGGAACTGCAACACGAGAAAGAAGGCAAGGGTTAGGCGGCTCTGCCTGTGCTCGGTGGCTGCTTGGACCACAGCTCTCTCCCGCCCCGGTCAGGAGGCAGGGCCGGGCCCAGCCGCCGAGAGCCGGGGAAAGCTGGCCAGCCAGCATCCAGCCTCCCTCTTCCCTGGGGATGCCCTGCCCCCACCCGCCAGCCTGTGTCCAGGAGACAAGGAACCTAATCCTGGTCGGGCGATCACAGCTCACGTCCCTGACCTTCCCCCCCAGGCGGACCCCCAAGACAGTCACGCGAGTCTGGGTCTCTCCACGGGGAGCTGCTCACACCAGAGGAGGTGCCCGCAGAGCCCCTGCGCTTCCCAGATCTCCCCGGGGGCCTCCCCTCCCCCAGAGGGGGAGCATCAGTGTTTTGAGGTACTCAGGTCAGAGTGACTCCCGAACAGGACAAGTGATCAAGCCAGGCCACGGTGCCCTTGGCTTTAAACACGGACGTGACTGTCAGGGACGGAGGCTGGCTTCTGGGGGCCGGAGGGACGCCTGCCCTGGTCTGGGTCTCGGTGGTGGCTCTGCTCTACTCCCTGGGGGACAAGGTCGGTTTGACCCCTGCCCACAGCCCCGCCCTGCTCTCTGGAGTGCCTGCCAGGCCCAGCTGGCCTTCCTGACACCCCTTCCCCACCTCTGCTCCCGCTGGGCCTGTGCGGCCCTGTCTCAGCAGTCGGATTGGCCTCCTTACGGCTGCCCCACTGTGACATCCTGACACCCGACACACAGTTAAGGTTCAGAAGTGGGCTTTGAGCAGAATGACTGAGGAGTTCTCCCCACCCCGCCCTGCCCCAGGGTGTGTCTGGCACACCGTCCCGACGTGGCCCTGGGTTCCTGCTCTGTGAGTCTCCTCTGCACCTGTCAGGCCTCCCCGTCCCGCCCAGGGACAGCTCTCTACCCTGCGCCCTCCGACCTCCTGCTGTTCCATCTTAAGACCCTGATCCAGCTTTCCTGATCACACAGGATTACTATTACGGGGTGGTCTCAGTGCCCTAAACACTGTTATAAGGAAACGTTTATTAGCAAACCATCCACAGGCTCCCAAGCCCCTCCCCCAGCACAAGGCTGCCCACCCCTGGAGTCAGCCTCTGCCGAGAGCTGGACTTTGAGACGATGCAATGACAACACAAGGCTGTTCCAGGGCAAAGAGAAATCACAAATCTCCGAAAAACGCATCCAAAGGAGTGATCTGAATATGAAAGGGGTGAGAGAGGCCCTCTTCTGACTGAGCCCGTGAGGGGCAGAGGGAGGCTGCGGGGGGGGCGGGGGCGTCCTGCTTCCACAGTCCTTCTCAGAGACTCCCCCCCAAACCAGCGTGCTGCATTTTCTTTCTTCTAACAATCAGTGCTTAGCTGAAGTGGAACCTTGGTTGTGTTAAACGTGGGATTAAAGCGGGAGCCACAACCTCAGCCAGGTCCCGCCCCTCCTCCCCGGGAGCTCGGCTGGGACTGCAGCCTCCCATGAGCTGGGCGGCATGTCCCTGGTCAGGACCACCAGGGGGCCCTGGTGGCTTCTGCTCTGTTGCAAATAGTCTCTGCGTGCCCCTGACGAGCTAGAAGGGTCCCCGGAACCCCTTAGCTGGTCCTTCAGGTCACTGGCGGCCTGGTGTTGGAGAAGCCGCCCTCCCAGGTTACAGAAAGAGCAGAGCTGAAGGTGGGGGGGTCCCGGGGCGAGCAGGTGGGCGTGGGCTGGTTTGAGCCTTGTTCCCCTGCTGCGTTAACTGGGGGAGAGGGTGCTTGGGGCAGGTCTGGGGGTTATCGTAAAGCACCACTGGGCGAGCTAAGGGCTGGGGTCTGCAGTCCGGGATCAGAGCCCGGCACCGTTTTGCAGCAGTGTTCCCTTCCTACCCAAGCACCTGCCTGTCTGCCGGGTGGGCTTGAGGTCAGCGTCTCCCAGCTCCCTCCGAGCCTGGTTTGATTATCGATGGCCAAACAAACTCACAACGGATCTTCAGGCCCAATTCCTCTGAGCAGGACAGGGCGGGTGAAAAGCCACCTGGAGCTGTTAGGGGGGTCTCACTTCAATCACGTAACTGTGCTTTTGTCAAGTGACAAAGCTGGGTGGCTCGTGAATGAGAAAAATGGGGAAAACCTCTTAAAACACAGCTACCCCACGACATCTATCTTTAAGGGCCCTATAAATTATTCAGTCTCAGGGACGCTAATGGATGGTCGGGGTTTGGAAGCCAATCAAAGAAACCTCCTCCATTTGGAAGCCCTTGAAGTCTTGATTTACGGCCCTGGGCTGTACAGGAGCGCCCAGCTTCTGCTGCTAATTGAACTCCACTGCCCACGGCCACGCCCCCTACTCCCCTTCCTGGCTCAAGACGAGAGTGGGTCTCTCTAGGAGCCGGGGTTCCGGGGCGCAAAGGCGGCAGCGGGAAGTGGGCCCCTTGCTCACCGTCCTGCAGCGTGGTTACCGCCTCTGTCTCCGCGCTGAAGTCACTGTCCCCAATGTCATTGGTGGCCTTCAGGCGCAGCTTGTAGGAGGTGAAGGGCCTCAGCCTGAAACACGGAAGGGACCCGTGACCGCAGAGACCTCTGCCTGTCCGCGGGCCCGGGCGGCGGCGAGGAGCGGGCATTCTGGGGCTGCGGCTGAACTCCCGGGCGCCCGGGACTGTCTGGGGAGCAGCTCCCAGCACCCAGCCCTGGCTCACTGGCCGGTCTAGGGAGACAGGAGATTCCCGGGGCGGGGGGAGCCCAGAACTCCCCAGCAGGGGGAATGGAGCGCTTGCCTAGGGCTCCTGGGGAGGGACTACCGCTTCCTGCAGTCAGAGACACCTGTGCGCAGCAAATCGCTGCTCTCCGAGCAGCTCGGAGGACTTCTCAGGAGGAGCCGATCTCACACCGGCGCAGGCACGGGGCATCGGAGCACGGAGAGCAGGCGCTCACCTCCTCCCGCAGCCCAGCGCTCCATCGCGGAGCTCCGTGCCAGCCCAGCCGGGGCCTGGCTCCAGGGGCTGCCCCTGCCCCGCCCCCTCCCGCCGACTGAGCCAGACTCGAGCAGCACAGCCCCATCTAAGCTGCAGGGCAGCTCTGCAGGGTAGAGCCGTCAGGATTCCTGTTTCACGGTGAGCGGACAGAGGCCCCCACCCTCCTCCGGAGGACTGGTCAGTGGCTGGGGGGCGGAGGCTGGAAGAGGGGTCTCGCCCTGAAGTAACACTGCCTCCCACCTCAAGTAAGGCCAAGACAATGTTGGCTGTCCATGTGAAAAGATGTCCCCCTCGGCCCACGGATGAGACTTTCGGGACATGAATGCTCTCCTTGGTGCCACCACTGCAGGCTTCCTCTCTCCCTTCCATCCTTCCTCCCTCCCATCCATCCATCCATCCATCCCCCCACCCACCCAGAGGGGCCGTGCGCCCAGCGCAGAGCCACACTGATGACTGAGGCTTCAGACAAACTCCGCTGTGTGGACGACACACAGACCTTCACCCAGTTCCCCAGCGGCGCTTCCCTAGCTCAGCCCCGCTCAGCACCCGGCTGGCTGGCCGGCCGCTGTCACTGCCCTTCGGGTTTTACTTCCAGAGGAGCAGATGAGGGCCCTGCGTCCTCCCTTCCCTCCCAGCAGCGGCTGTGTCTCAGGCGGCGGCCCCGCTGTCCTCTCCGTTTCCCGGACCCGAAGATCCGAAGTGATTCTAGACGCTCCCTCCCCGTCCCTCGAGTCCAAACCATCCCCAAGTTTCCTCAACTTGGTCTAAGCACAGCCCTCCCTGCCTCTGACCAACCCTTCCCCTGGCTCTGACCCAGCCTGTAGACCAGTGGTTTTCAAACTGAGCACTGAGGAGCCCCTGAGACCCCGAGGGACCCTCCGGGCATCCAGGGCCTCCGTTCCCCCTGCACCAACCAACAGCAGCTCCACTTCCACCTGGTCTGTAACTGGTTCTGGGTGACACTCTGTTTAGAGAAGGGATTCTGCATTTTGAAACACTGACAACCATTTTTGGAAAGCATGATCAGAATTTTTCTCTACCTCTGTTTTCAAATCGCCTCGTGCGTAAGACTGATGGCAGTGGTTCTCTGTGAGCTGACACCTCGAGGGATGCTGTTGCTTCCCAGCCCCCCAGAGCCAACTGCACCCTGCTGCTCGCTAGTCCGTCGGCGCCCCGATTCCACAGCCAGGAGAAGCGGTGACGGGCAGCCCTGCCTCGGGCCTGGCTTTAGTGGAGACGCTTCCAAAGTCCCACCTGAAGGATGATCTGGCTTTTGGGCGACATTCTTTATTCAGTTAAAACAGACAAGTAAGTTCCCATCTGTCCCCAGCTTCCTAGGAGGGATTTCATGAATGGCGGAGGTAACCACGTCTTTCCTCCCCCGGCCTCCGTCTCCCCCCGTCTCCCCATCTGGGCTGATAGCAGTGCCCACACCGTGAGGCTGTTGCTGGGATGAGTTCGGGGAGACGGGCGGGGGGGAGGCTGGCCCACAGCCGGCGCTCAGAACTGAGAAGCGGCCGTAGTGTTCTCGTCCTGCAGGTGTCAGCTTCACCAGCTCCAGGCGATGCCTGTCCCCTGCCCACCGTCCCCTACACCCCGTTCACTTCCTCGTCTCCTCCATCGCAATTTGTAATTAACTGTTTCCTTGATGACTGTCTGTCTTATTTACAAGACGCAGGACTCCTTGGGGACAGGGACCGAGGCCTCATTTATTGCCTTGTCCCCAGCACCAATGGCAGTGCCTGGTACCCAGGAGGTGCTCAGTGAATGCCCACATAAGGGATGAATGGCTGGGGTGACATTATCTGTCTCTGAAGTTTCTTGGGAGGGTTGAATAAGAGGACACGTGAGAGTCAGCACAGGTCCAGCACATGGTAGGTGCCCGGAAATGACCCTTGTCTTTATATGTAGCGCTTTTATTATCTAGTGCACTGCCTCTCAGAACACAGTAGTGCTCATGACTTATTACATTATATTCAGTACTTCACTGTTCTCTAATGATTTCGGAATCTGAGGCCAGACGTCTAGCTCTTTGAAGACCACCCTTTCTTTCCTGGCTTCCGGGGTCTCCAGGAGTCGGGGGCACAGCAGGACTTCATGACTACTTGATAAATGAATAAGGAACAAGCCCTCCGATTTCCGCCAGTTCTGCCCCCTGTTCACTCTTCCAGGCCTCCCTGAGCCTCTACTTTGGAGTCGGCCAAGCAGGAATTTAAATTCTGACCCCGCTACTCCTAACTGGGGCACGCCGTTTAATTTCTCTGAGTCTCACTCAGTTCATCTATGAAAACAGAGGTAATGATACCCACGCTTCCGGGGGAAGTTACATGACACAACCCACCTCGTGAGGTCTGGCAATTGGTCACACAGTAGGTGCTTCATAAATGTTACTTTCTCTCTCCTGTCTTCCCAAAGGCTGCCGGAGAGGGCAGGTTCAGAGGAACAGCAGGGCCCACTGTTACTGGACACACAGCCATCACCGGAGCCCACGCCATCACTGCTCTGTCCTAAAGGGACGTCCAGGACGTCCACGTGGCTCTGTGCTCAGAGCTCTTCTCTTCAGCTACACTGCATTTCTATGGGACGCAACCATCAACCAGAAACCGGTGATGCTGAAATAGGTCCCTCAGACCCAACCCCTCCCAGTGCCCTGGACCCACATTCACCAGAGGTAGGTACAGGCACGAGATGTGGATCGTTAAACGTTTTGTTTTAAACTTTTGTTTAAACGTTTTATGTTTTTTTGGCCACTAGCAGACTTCATGCAACTGGAAAAAGTAAAATGTAAAAAGAATGTTTAAAAAAAAAAAAGGAGAATGTAGCTGCCAGGACTATGAGGCAGGAAGGGGGATGACTCGGTGGCAGCGCACAAGACATCACTTTCTCGGGATCCTGCCCGCGACATGTTTTCTACTGACAGGGGAGGAACCACGTGTCCTGGTTATGGCCCATTAGGAAACTGACAACAGTCTCTCCCGCACCAAATTAAACTGTCTGTCCTGAAACACGGACCTCTCCTTTCCAACGCAAAGTCCCAAGCACACCATTGGTCTGTTGGAGGCTCCACGACAGGAGAGGCAGTTGGATGTTATGGCTCTTCTTTCTCTCACGCGGTTACACGAGGAGGTGGGGTTATTTACGGCCGGGCGCCCAGCACACTGGAGTGTGCTGTACCAAGTAAGCTGGGCATCCTGGCCGCGCTCGCCCGACCCCCACCCCCGGGCTGCACAAGAGAATCCTGGCCCGCAGGGTGTGTCCGCAGCAGGGGGAGCTGTGCCTTGCGGGTCCCACGGCTGTCGTAAGGCTGGCGGGCTCCGCGGGGACAGGCTTTGACTATTCTGGGGGCCTTGTTACTTGGCCGTCCGTTCACTGCTGTCAGTCACCGAGGCAAATCTTCAGCCCGGAGCTGAGAGGAACCACGGGATGGTTCCTCCAGCCCCGTGTTTCACTCCTCCAAGGCCCCGTGGCCACTCAGGGGTAGACGGACTGCTGAGAGCTTGGGGTGTAGATGATAAACGCTGTTCACTGCATCTGGACCCGCGTAAATTAGCTGGGTGCTGGTGTGCATCCGTGAAGCTTTGAGCTACAGGCCCAGGGAATGTCCGAACCACAAAGGGATCCCCTCCCCCATTCAGAGAAGCTGAGGCCCCTTCGTTGTTTAAGACACGTCTGCTGCCCCGTGTCCTCGTCTGCACGACGGGAATAAAAAAAAGTCTGGTCTGTACCCCACAGGCCTCTCTCTCCACGTGGACGACCTGTGGGACAACATGTGGGAATTGTTCTGGAACTGATGGAGGGCTGGGTGATGCTGAGACGGTGACGGTGGCGATGACAATGACAGCAGGAAGATGGCGCGGGAGGCTTCATCACCAGGTCGCCGTGGGGAGCGTCTTGGAGGTGCGCGTCCACACTGATGCCGTTCCAGCCTCATCTCCCCACCACGAGGAGGCGGTTACAGCTGCCGTGACTGTCACTAGTGTTCTAAAGCCCTACTCGCCAGCAGACGGACCTGAACAAATGTCGCCTCTAAGTAGCAGGCAGGGACCTCGGCTCTTCCGGAAGCAGAACGTGTGCATGGGGACCGTCCATCCCTCATCTCCAGAGCTGAGAGCTTTCTGGATCATGGGATGAGGGAGTCACTCAGACCAGGTATATCACTTGGGGTCCCAGGAGGCCGCGGCTATAAGTGGCGAGCTGCCTTCCTTCTTGGCCTGTGGCTGCCTCTGAAGTCACCTCCAAAGGGGGCGCCCGTTCTGTGCGCCAAAGCAGAGCTGCCGTAAGGTCCCTGCAAGCTGCCCGGGCTGCTATGCTCATCCCGTCAGGGTGCAGGCCGGCCGCACAGCCGCCCGGAGCCGAAAGCACCCGCCGTGGGCACAGCCTCACCCCCGTCGGTGCCGGCTCCTTGGACCAGGGGCGTGGCCCGCTCCTCCTTCAGCCCCGCTGCTGGCACAGGAGAGAGTGACAGTGCCACGCTCCAACCCCAGCCCTGAGCTGCGCCTCCGGGGGTCTCTGATGATGGCACAGCTCGTGGTCTCTGCTCAGTGGACAGCAGACTGGCGGCCTTGCGACGGGGAGGGTGGGGTGCCTAGGGAAGCCCACACGTGCTCCCTGCTGGCTGGGCAGGGCTGCAGGTAAGGCACCAAACCGACCTCTGACCCTGTTCCTCTCCCGCGGAACTGGGACGGCAGTGCCCGGAGCTGTCGTGGGGATTCCACGAGCAGGTGGACGTGAATGCGGCACGGTACCCAGCACGGGGCTCGTTCTGAACGATGAGAGGACCTTGGCCTGCCTAGGAAACCATGGTCCTGGTCTCCTCCTTCCTCCTAGGAGGTCCAGGCAAGGGTTCTAGCACCCACGGGGGACAGTGGGACCCACTACTTAGTGGCCCCTCCCCAGCCCCGGAGCATGAGCCTGGCAGGAAGTGACAACGCCAGGGCCGGGCGGGAAGTACAGTGAAGATACCAAGGCGTCTCCCCGGGCTGCTGCCATCACCCTCCCAGGTCGGGGGCTTCCATGCGGGCGGACGTGAGGACGCAGGGCCCGAGGCCACTTCGTAGACCTGCCCGTCTAGACTGTTCCATCTGTAGGATTTTGGCGGGTGACGTAACCCCTCCCAGCCCTAGTCTCCTTCACCGTAAGGAGGGGGGCGGCCGAGAGAAGAGGCCCAGGTGGGATCACGACACAGCGGGTCCAGCCGCGGCCGGCGGTGCAGCCCCTCCCTCCTGCCCAGCAGTTCCCCAAACAGCTGGCTCGGGGGCAGGGCTCTGCTCCTGCCCCATCAGCCGTCACTGTCACTAAGGAAGGGCGGCCCCCAGGAGGACTCTGTCCACCTCGCTGACACAGAGACAGCACAGAGAAGGGCCACTCTCCGGCCTGTGACACGGTGACAGTGGCAGGCTGGGCTGCCCTCCCCGCCACCCCCCACTCCGTGCCTCTCGGGCACTGGGGAGCCTCAGTCCCCCTCCCGGGCTCAGGGCCCCACCGCCTGTTCATCTGAGCCTCGTCAGTCCCCGGGGCCTGGGGCGGGCGGACCATCTGTGCCGGGCCGCTCGCAAGGACTGGCGGGGAAGCGGCCCGGGTGGGCGTCTGGAAGCGGACGCGGGATGCAAGGACTACGGGTCCTGGTACAGGAGCGCTGACTAGAAGAGGAGACATGGGCTTTCAGTGGCACGTCTCCGCGTCCTGCACAGACTCTCTACTCAGTGGGCAGGAGCTGGCTGGGGAGGGCAGGGCCCCCGTACCCCGGGGGAGGGTCCCCCGGCCCTCTGCGTACCTTTCAACGGCACAGGCTGTGGCCTCGTGGCTGATGGACGAGGAGTAGGTCTGCCACTGTCCCCGGGGCAGCTCGCGCAGCTGCACCGTGAAGTACCGGATGGGGGAGGCCCCATCGCTGCCCGGGACCCACTGGAGCCACAGGCTGTGTGCGGTCACTTCCGCTTGGGGCACCAGGAGCTCCCTGGGGGGTGCCGGCCGCTCTGCAACCAAAAGAGGACAGATCAGGGACATGTGAGAGGCTCGCAGTGAAATTACGCAGGGGGAGGCACTGTGGCTGCCCAGAGAGTTGGATGCATGGATTAGATGATCTTCAGACTGTTCCTGGCTCCGCAGGGATGTGAGGGTCTCTGACTTCGGCCGGGGCCCAGCTTGGATCTGACTGGAGACCCCTGCTTGCTCTTGGAATGTTCCATCCTCAGAGCAGAGAAAGACAGGCAGACAGACAGACTGGAGGTGAACCCACCCATGCTCCCCGACGGCACCGCCACGTAAGGCATCGTGAACAACACCTGGGCGCCCCGAGGACTCACTCCTACTTTCTGATTTGGGGACTAGTGCATCTTTAACACCGATCTCCTCTCCCTGGAAATCGACCTGGGCCTGAAACCGTAAAGGCATGTGGAGCAGGGGTGCCTGGGGGCTGTCACTGGCCACTCCGTGCCTGCAGGGATGGAGACTGGGATGCGGGCAGCGGGGCCGGGACCTGGCTTCTGAGTGGGGGTCGTCTGCCCGTCGCCCTGTCTCCTCGCCCCATTGATTTCAACAGAGCAGCTCCACAGAGGGAGGAATCATTCCTTCACTGTTTATCAGGAAGAGTATGGACTCTGATTCGAAGGTGTGGCGTGAAATAAAGCAGCGGTTGAGTGCCGGCCCCAGGGGATGGGCTGCCGGGGGGCCTCACATCTAACTTAATCAGCAACCTTTGCTGAAGCGCACCCTTCGGCCGGGCGGTTTCTTCTCGCCCCAGCAGCCTGGGTCCTGCCCCTGCTTCTCAGGCCCCTCCCGGACCCACTGGAAGGGACAAAGCTCTCCTGGGCCCCCTCTCCCTGAGCCACGCGGACCGAGGCCCTGCAGGCCCTGGCGGGGCAGGTGTTCCAGCTGTGGGACAGGGTGCAGGCGGGGGCACGTGGTGGGCAGGGCACAGGGCTGCCCCCTTAGGGGAGCTCATGTCAGTACTTGCACTCGGGTTTGGTTCAAGTCACATCAAACCGTGAGCAAAACTCTTTCCCCCTCCTTCAGAGGGGCTGCACGGAGTCTAAGGAGGATGGCAAGAAACAAGGCCTGAGGCTCTGGGCTGCCTGGGAGAGAAACTCAGCCCTGCTGCTCCCTGCACACTGAAAGTGCCGGCCTGACCAAGTCCCGGTGGGGGAACCTGCAGGAAGCTCTGGTATCGCTGGGGAGGAAAAGACTCTCTATCTTTGGACCTGGGAGGATCAGGCCTGACAGCCCAGCCTGGGGCGAGTGTTGGGCTGTGAGACCCGCTGTGCGTCCGGCTCCAGGTAGGCTCAGCGGTGCTTCAAGAACGAGCAGTTCGGGCAGCCACCCTCCCCAGGCACGCGCGACCTCCCCTCCCCCCGCCCGGCAGGGAATTGGGTCTCCCGGTCTTACCTCTCTTCTCGGTGGTGATGACGGTGGCCTCCAGCGGCTCCCCCCAGCCCTGCCGGGTCTTGGCCGACAGCCGGAAGACGTACGCGGACTCCGGGGCCAGCTCAGTGGCCGTGAACTGCCTCACGGTGGCGCCGACCTCCACGGTGGTGAAAGTGTTAGGGCTGCTGCTGGCCAGGCGGTAGGCGATCTGGTACCCTGGGGGGGCACGAGGGCTGCTGGTCAGCTGTGCCCTCACTCACAGGGAAGCCCCTAGTCCCGCCACCCGGGAAACCCTACAGAGCCACGTGTTTCTGCGCTGTTTCCCTCTCCCAGGCCAGCATCTGAGCAGCAGGCCGGGGCTCTTGGGAGCGAAGCCAGGCTCAGTGATGAAGGGAGGGGCTCGGGGCGCCAGGCCCCCTCTTCTTCCTTCATGGAACTAGATGTGAAAACAGCTTCCTCTTCCCCGTGGTCTTCGGCGCCCGGAGGACCCAGGGAGCAGCGCGGATGGCGGCTCCTTTCTCTGTCCCTGCCCCTGCCCGCCTTCCAGTGGCCCTGCCCTCAACCCCCAAGGGTCTTCTTGCCTGGAGCCCCCTTCTCCCTGGAGCCGGCTGCCCCGGAGGCTCTCACACCTGTGCTCAGACCACGTCTGTCTGTCTGTCTGCACACCCCGCTTCCTCCCGCCAGCCCAGCGCTCCCGCCCCTCCCAGAAGCCCCACCCCTGTGGCTCTGAGCCGGGGGCTCCCCTGAAACAGCTCGCCCCACTGTCGAGGACGCAGAAGGGAGTACATCAGCTCGGGGCAGGCCCCCGGCTCTGACCGTCTCTCAAAGTCCCCTGATCATCAAGGGTTCGTGGTTGATCGGGCTTCATTAAGGACCAGGCCTCCCCCACCAGGCCCTGCTGGGGCCCCTCTGCCCGCATCTGAAGAGGCAGAGTGGACTTGCAGACCCGGCCCGAGCCTCCTGGGCTCCCAGACAACTGTGGTCCAGCCGCTGAGTCCTGCGCTAAGACCAGAAGTGGCGGTGCCGTGACCTCCACACCGCTAATGACAGCCAAGCCACTCAGTTCAACGGGGACCCTCAGGGGACCAGGCCAGCAGCGCTGAACCCAGCTCTGCCTTCGCAGGGCGTCCCGTGGGTGTGACGGCCCCTGTGGAGATGGGCTGCTGGCCCTCGGGACAGGCCCTCCGGGCCTCAAGCAGCTTGCGTCTCCGTGGCTTCCCTGCCCCGGGTGGGTATCTCTGCTCCTTCGGGCATCTCCTTGGGCTCCTTCGGTCCTCCCACTCACACAGCCTTTGGCCCCATCAGTGGCCAAGCTTCCTGGCACCTGCCGCCTGCATAAGGAGCCTCAGCCTGCCCCCCACGTGGGGGGCCAGGAGGACGATCCCGTGGGGTCAGACACAGAGTGTGCCGTAGCACTCAGCCCCTAACCACTGCGGGTCACTACCACGGCCACGCAGACGGGGGCCGGCAGCCCAGCCCTGTCCACAGTGACCACCGTCATAGCGTGTCTGCAGGACCCTGGACAGGCTCGCACAGCTCTGTTCTGCCTCCGATGGCCATCCGCCCCACCGTGGCGGCCAGCTGTCCCGGGGTGTCCTGCTGGACACATGTCCTTTCCCACCCACTGACCGATGACCAGCGGCCCTTCTCCTGGACCTCCCCTAGCACCTCCCTCGCCCCTGCCTGGTCCTGGAGGAGGGGGCGCCTGGAGTTCGGGTGCGTCGGGAGCCCAAGCCCAAGCTCTGAGACTCCCGGACACCTAGCATCCTGAAAACGAGGGCAATGTGGTCAGCGTGGCCACCGCAGCAGAGCCCTCCTGCTGCACGCCTGACGGTCCGCACCTCCTGAGCCTCTCCGGTGGTCCTGCCAGGGAGCAGCAGAACTCAGAGAGGTAAGCAGTCTGCCTGAGGTCACACAGAAAGTCACCAGCAGAGCTGGCCTGAGCCCTGCATCTGTCCGGCTCCAAAGCCTTCACTCTCCACGGAGTCACACTGTCCCGAGAAGCGAAAGCGTCCGCCCCAGGCTCCCAGCAAAGGGCCCTTGGCGTCCTGCCCCACGAGAAGAGCATGTCTCCCAGGGACGACGGTGCCCCGGCAGCCACAAGGTGTGGGAGCTTGTGTCCAGGCTGTGCTCCCGGCTCTGGGAGAACGTGCCGCTCCCTGTAGCCCGCTCATTTCTGCGTCACCGCTAACACCTCTGCGGTGGGCATCTGCTTTGTCAGAGTCGGTTTCCCTTCCAATCCCCGGCCCTTCTGGTCCTCACCTCGGCTAGTCCAAGCTGATGCAATGAACTCGGTCCTCCGACTTCCGACAGCACCCGCTGGCCCCTCACCATGACTGTGGTGGAAGCACGAGACTCCCGTTCTGCTCGCCTCCCCCTTGTCTGTCACACCATCTGTCCTGATTAGCTACATTATTGCTTGTATTCTTCCCTGGCCTGGGCCTTTACACTTTAGATCCATTTCTCTCTCCGTTATTTGATGTACCAAGCCCCAGCTCTCTTCTGAAACTCACCCACTGCTATGAGAGTGATGTAAATCCATGTTTTTACACCAGCTCTAACCTCAGTACATCTACGCCGGCTTTTAGGTGTCGTATTGTTATTTTTATGTTGTCAGGATTTGCAGGAGAAAAGCGACGCCCATGTTCGGCAGATTTCGAGGGGCACAGGGGGAGATCAGGCGGCATGGAGGCAGCCTCTGTCCGAGGGCGGCGTGGTCCGCGTGGGCATGTGGTTCATCCACAGAGGCTGCAGCAAGCCTCACGGGGGACTGGGGGCCTCTATGTCCCCCTGGCCACTGGAGGAAAGTCTGTCTGTGCCCCGTACGAAAGCAACTGACCAACGTCATTATCGCACGCACATTCCCAAACTAACGCAGGGAACTAAGCAAAGATATCTTGCACAGACAAACCGAACTTTCCAACCCAGCACAAAGGCTGCCCAGGCAGACACAGACCACCAATAAGAACATGATCAGACACGATACTTTAAAAACGTCAAGAGGGAGGTGTGGCCCCGGGTGAGTGAGTGCGGCCATTCGAATACCACTCCTAGTGAAGAAGAGATACCAACCCTCCCCAAAGAACAAACAAGCAACTGCGTTAAAAACAGATGAATGTATGTACGTCTGAGACCCGGGCCCTGTCTGCGTACACACTGAATCTCTGTGTAGGACTGCGCTGACCAGGTTTCTTTTTCAGAGTGCGAGACAGCATGCCTGCAGCTGAGACGGCGGGAGGCGCAGAAACCACCTGACCAGCGCGCCCAGGCGCCGGGAACGCCGGGGCGGCCGCTGCCGTTGGTTAACACTTGGCGTCCCGGGGGCCCCCGACGTGCGTCAGGGAGCTCCCCTCACGCCCCCACCAGCCAGCGTTCGGTCCCTTAACTTGTCCCTTCGTATTTCGGAGAGTCGTGTGTGAGTGATTAAGGCTCCTCGTTAATTCGAATCACCTTTCACCTGGTAAGCCTGAATTAAAGAGGATTTATACGCTTTTAGGAACAGGACATGACTACAGTTGTGCTTTCTTTATCCTTTATTCTTTATGGTGTTTCACCGCTTCTCAGATTATCTGCCACTGGAATTCAAAATCCTGGGACGAAACTCAGATTTTGTTCAAAGGCACATCTTTGCGAGCTGGGATTTGGGAACGAACTGGGAACCGGTCTCCCTGAAGGTCCTCCCCTCCCTTCCCCTTCCTGGGCTGGTTCAGGTCTGCTCTCCATCAAAGGCTCCACCTCTGCCCTCCCCTGCCGCCAGAGCACGACGCTAGGGCGACCCTTGACCTCGCCTCCACCTGGGCGGTTCCTTCACATGGTCCCTCGCTCACTCCCTGTCGGGTCTCTCGCCGGCCTCGCCATCCTGGCATTGGATGGCGTGTTGTATGCTTCTAGATGATCTCTTGTCTGTCTGTCTGTCTGTCTCTCAGAAGCCCCTGACCATGTAGCAGGATGTCGTCAGGAGACCCGGGTCCTAACCCAGCCTAGCTTTTCTCACCTCGGGCAAGTTTCAACTCTCGACTTTTTGTTTCTAGCTACGAATAAAGAAAAACACCAGCCCCCGCTCATCAGGGCCCCTGTACTCCAGGCGCGTCACTCCTGCCACGTGCAGACCTCGCGGTGGCCTACGGTCCACGGTCCACGGGGCACATGACAGCGTCTCCGTGTCACACCCGAGGACGGGCGCGCAGGGCACCCAGTAAACAGGACAGAGCTCCCTCCTGCTCTAAAATGATAGGATCCTGACGATGTCACGGAAAGGGGGACAAAATAGAAAACAACTTGGCCACTCAACAGGATATTTTCAGGGTGACTGTGGAAGAGCATCTAGACGCAGCGAGAGGCACGGTGCCCGGCCTGAGGCTGGACTCAAGCGCAAACCTCCATGGGCGACGTTCCACCTGGAGGGGACGCGTTGTTTCAGAAAGCAGCCCAAGAGATGGGGTGCCTGGAAGAGCCTTGGGGTGCCTGTGCAGGGAGGGGCTCAGGCGAGGGGCGGGTCAGGTCCCCTGCGGCAGGGCCTGGAGCCAAAGCCGTGCCACGTCTGAGGGGGGGACAGACAGGCAGCAAGGAGCAGGTGGGCTCACCCACGGCTGCAGAGATCAGCCTTCGTCCCGGCCGCAGCCAGGGCGCTGTGCTGGCTGTAAAGGTGTGCAGCGGGACGGCAAAGTCCCAGCCCTCAGGCCTGCTGTGGGTCACCGAGGCCAAGCTGCCAGGAGATGAGCTCTGAGCTCCCGAGCAGGGTGGGCAGGCGTAGAGAAGCTGGGGCTCTGCCCCACACGAGACGCTTCCCATTCGATGGCTATTTCTGCCTGAGCCCCGAGGGCTCCCGTCTACCCAGAGAACTGCGTGAAATCTGGGCTGTTCTATCTGATCCAGGTCCCACATGGAGCCACTGGGAGAAAATTCCTCGGCCCGAGGGATATATTTGTATCTTCCTGTTATTTGCCCTAAAAGAGAGACAATACCCCTACTGTCCCCGTTCTGTGGTGTGCTGATAAAGATGAACACCCGCACCTCACCTTGACACGGACGTGATGAACAACGGAAGAGAGGCTTCTATACAGAAATGGCCAAGAGAAAACGCCGAGCGCAGGCTCGCACGTCAGGAACAAGGATGGCGTTCGCGGGACGAGGCTCGTTATGTGACTCTGGGCCCAGGGAGCTCAGAAACACGAGCTGAATGTCAGCGACGTGAGGTCAGAGGCCGCAGCCATGCA